CAAAAAAAAAAAAAAAAAAGATTGAAAAAATAATAAAGAATTGGACAAGTTATTTCTAAGTTTGCATCCTTCAAAACCATATTAAGAACCATGCCATTCTGTGCATGGCAGTGCTGAGAGTGAGGGTGCTATTTATTTAACACCATGGCCTGAATTTGAAGCCCAGGACTTCCTCTGATCAGTGGCCTTACAAGGCTACAGGAAGGATGGGTCATGCGGGATTTAGGAGGACACTTACTCCATCCTCTGACCAGGCCTTCCTTGGGAATTTTCAAGGATGGTTTATACTTGCTTTTCAACCACCAAGCTGACTTGAGAACACAATGCCCTCCCAAGAGGCGGCTCTGGGAGTTTTGTACTAAGGGGCGACAGCTTCTCTTCCCTAGGCCAGTCCAGCCTGAGCTTCGGAGACCCTCAGAAGTGCCCGCGGGCATTCAGGGCAAGCCAGGGCAAGCAGCTGGGCTCCTGTTTCCCCAGCCACAGCTTGTGTTAGTTTCCCTGAGCAGAAGGGCCTGGCACTCAGAAGGGTACGGAAGCCCTCCACTGCCGACCCAGCTCTCTTGCTGCTATTCAGACCTCACCTGAGGAAAAGAAAGATGGTTCTTTGAGACTCGGTCCTGCGGACCTCAGGAGCCTGGCGTTCCAAGTGTGGTCCAAGGAGCTCCAGCAGCTCCGGGTGCAGCTTCTCGGCCTCGTCAAAGATAAACAGGCTCTGATGGCAGCGCTGCTGCGTCCCCTGGATTTGGTCCATCAGCCGCTCCTGTACAGAACACAGGGAGCTACTAGGTGCTGGGGGCACAATCCACCTGGAGCCTCAAGGGCCCCGAAGGAGGGACCAGTTTCCCGAGGGCATCTGCGGTGCGGTGCCTGGCTCTCGGCCTACCCCCTGTAACAAGCCTGCGGCCAGGGCATGCGCACCTTGGGTAACAAGCTTCCAGGTGATTCTCCAGCACCCTCAGGTTTGGCAGGCCCTGTCAGGGTTGAGGGGAGGCCCTAGAAGGACAAGGGAGAACCCACCTTTCCCCGGGGACAGGCCTCAGCTCCAGCTGTGCTCCTCCCTCTCCAGGACTCAGTCCTATCCTGGAACTGACTCCCCCAGGGACAGGAGTTGGACTCCTCTGTGGGGCTGATAGGCAGGAGAGGCTCCAGGGCCCAGGGCCAGCACAGGGGCCCAGGCTCCCCTCCCAGGAGAAGAGTGCCCACTGGGCCGAACTCTCAGGGGTCCCAGCCGGCCTGTATCTTGGGGCTTCTACAGGGTAGGCTCCTACCACAGGAAAAAGTAAACCTCAATGGAGAAGATGCTTCTTTGTGGGCGAGAACTATATTATATGGGGCCAGATCCCTGTCCGTCTCTAACCTCTCTAGAGCCCGATTTCTGCCCCCAGTCACCCAAGTATGTATGACAGTGTATCAGCTTTCACAGCGGAGAGGCTCGGATCCACAGCAGCTTTGGCACAGGCAAAGCTAAACAGTTCTTCCTAGGACAACCCAGCTGATCTGCTGCTAGCCCTTAGGCCACCGGGGTTTCAGAAAGGGATACCCTGCCCCTGCCTTCCAAAGCCATGATGACACTGTCTGGTGACTCGGGCAATCCCTGTCCTCAGATGCTTACGTAATCTTCCCAGGTTAACACTCCAAGTATTTGAACTGAATGCCAAGCTAGGGGCAGTCTTGCTGTGATGGGAGTTTGCTAATTTTAAATACTACAAAGTAAAGGATCTTTCTGTCTATCCACTTGCAGGCATATAATAAGCCTTTATGGGAAGATATGGAAATCACTTAGGATGTAAGCCTCTTTAAGAAAAAGCATGTGTGGGGTGCAGCCCAGGAGTAGAGCACTTGCCTAGCATGCTGGAGGTGCTGGATTTTAACCCCCCCACACACGCAGAACTGGCAACTTTGTCCAATAAAGTGACAATAGTGTGAAAAGGCACTGGAAAAAGTCTGACATTAAGGGAAGTTCACCAGAATGCTAACTGTTGTTTGCTAATGAGGTTGGGGTGATTATGGTAAAGTCTTTACTTTTCTCCGTCTTACACTTCCTGTGAGATTTCACTACTACAATTCAAAAATGAACATGCAATTCTCTGTTGAAGCTGTCTGGCCTTTCGTGTGTGCCTGTAAAGGAGGCAGAACTTGGAGTGGTGTCAGAAATATCTCAGTTTTTCCTCTGGCTGCTGCGGTATCCTCTGTACTTGGTGCTCGGGCAGGTGTGTCCGTAGCACCAGCCGCCTGGCCCCCACTCTCCCAGAGCGCACTGCCTTGTAAGGAAGGGCTGCTGTTAGGGTGGCCCTCTTCACACAGAGGCCCCACTCAGCCTCAGCCCTGATGCCCAGGCTCCCTGGCACTGCCTGGCCTCACCTTGTACACGTCCACGTACTTTGGGTGTGGAAAATGGAACATGGTAATAAACATCTTGACGCAGTCACTCTTAAGCCCATCCCGATACAGGTTCTCCACCAGCATCCGTGCCACGAAGTTCTTGCCTGTGCCAGACCAGCCGTGGAAGGAGAGTGCCAGGGCCTTGTCTGGCTGGGGCATCTCTAGGTAGCCTCTCACTGTTCTTAGGATCAGCTCCTGGGCCAAATGCTGGCCATGCAGCCGCACACTCAGGTCTGAATCTAAACCTAGGGGCAGAGAGAGAGGGGCACAGTGGGAGGCAGGCACAAGCAAGTTCCCCACCAGGCATCTCCAATCATCGCTGAGGTGGATTCATCTATTCATCCTGTTTGTTCTCAGAGGCTAGAGGACAGCCCTTGCAACAGAAGGGATTCAAGAGCTATTTTCCTTTTTTTTTGGTTTTTTGAGACAGGGTCTCACTATGTAGTTGAGACTGACCTGGAACTCACTATGTAGCCCAGGCTGGTCTCACTCACAATGATCCTCCTGCCTCAGCCTCCGAGTGCTAGGATTATAGGCGTGCGCCACCACGCCCAGTTTAAGAGCTATTTTCTGAAGAGTCTGAGAAATCAAGATTGAACTCAGAGGGAGAAAGGAATCACCCTTTGAGGATGTGCCACAGGGCCGGCCCAGAGGAGTCAGGAGGAAGGCCCCAACCCCACCCTGGGGCCTCCCATCCTTAGTTTCAGATCTCCTTAAATGGTTTACAGAAAAGCCCCAGTTTCTCCCTTCTATTGTTGTTGTTGTGTAAGACTTGAATAGGCTAAAGTGACTCCATGCTAACAGGCCAGACTGTGCTTCTTCATATGCTAATTGCTACCTTGGTTAACAGCCCGCCCAGGGGCAAATGGTTTGACAAAAGGTGACCCTAGAACATTTCCTGCATAAGATAAGCAATGTGTTCGCAGTCTTGTTCAGTGAATTCCCTGACTCTTTGTTTAGAAAAAACTTATAAAAAGTACCTCAGCCCCTGAGCACTTGCCTCTCTGAGCCACCTGGTTCCGGGAGTGCCGTCTGGCCAGACTAATAAAGGTCTTTTACCATCTAGGCTGGTGTGTTCCTTCCTGGGTTTCTCGGTTCTCTGTCGTGTTCCCGGAGCCGCGCTGGGTGTTAGGGCCCAGCATCGTGGAGGCCTTTTTGGCTGTTCACGCTCCGTGGAGTGGAAGTGAGACTTTAGGTCTTACAGTTGTTGTTTTGGTACTGGGGATTGAACCAGACCTTGCGCTTACAAGGCAGGCACAGTGCCACTTAGCCAAATTCCCAACCCTCTCACTTCTATTGTAATCCAACAAACATTTGTACAGAGCAGCTACTGTGGGCCAAGTCCTACGCTGGGCCTTGCTACCTCTCAGCTGTGAGGTTGCAGGATTTGGAGACAGGGAAGGTGTACTGCAGCTGGCACGAGGAGTAACCACTTACAGGATCCACTGGTTGGGCACCTCTAGCCAGCCCAGGTTGGACATTCCAGGGCCTTGGCAAGTCAAGATCCATTGTGAAACAGTGCAAATATCACACACTGCTTTAAACTACCACAGAAGGGAAAATTAACACTAGTTGCTGTTTTCCCTGTATGAGGAACTGTGAGGGTTTTTTTTTTCCTTCTTTATTTTCATTCTCTCTCTCTCTCTATCTCTCTGTTTTTTTTTGGTACCAGGGATCAAACTTGGGTCCTTGTGCTTGCAAGGCAGGCAGCGGAACCACTGAGCTAAATCCCGGCCCATCTTTATTTTTTGATTCAGGGTCTCACTGTATAGTGCAGGCTGGCCTTAAACTCACTATGTAGCCCAGGCTGGTCTCGAACACTCAGCGATCCGCCTGCCTCAGCCTCTTAAGTGATGGGATTACAGGTAAGTGTGGTTTCATACTTCACCCTCACAATAATTATGTAAGGCACATATTAATTATATTTAAAGATGCGGAAACTCAGACTTGGAAGACTGTCCAAAGTATGGCAGCTAATCTTGTAAGAGGCGAGACTAGGGGCTCAGACAGGAAATTCTGATGCCTGCTGCAGCCAGAACAAGCTGGATGTCCAGGCCTCTCATGGACAAGGAGTATGCTGAAGATAGGGAGGTAACTTGCCAGGTGCCTACTATACTAGGGTCTTATCCCAAATTGACGGAAATCCAAATTCAGACTTTTGTTTTGTTTTGTTTTTTTGAGACAGTCTCACTATGTAGTTGAGAATGACCTGGAACTCACTGTGTAGCCCAGGCTGGTCTCAAACTCACAGCGATCCTCCTGCCTCAGCCTCCCGAGTGCTGGGATTACAGGCGTGCGCCACCACGCCGGGCCAAATTCAGACTTCTTGACCTGTACGTAGTCTCATAGAAAGTCCTGTGCTAGGCACACTGTCATTGGCACTTCTTCCAATTAAGTGACCTAAAATATAAAATGGGCCTCATTTATGGAGAGGAAGGAACTGGGATCTGGGGACTCTGGGAAACAAACTCTTCTGGGGAAAACAGGAAACATTCACAAGGGGCTAATCTACTGGTCTTTTGTCAGCCTTGATTCTGTAATTGAAGCACTCCAGAGCTAAAATACAAATCAGCCATGATATGCAAATAAAGCCACCTGACCTCATTTAAATGCACAGAGGAGGGAGGTTGGTTAGCTGTGAGTCATAAGCAGCTGGACCCAAGGGAGAATTCACAGCATCCTGGGGGTGGGGTGGGCGGTTTGCAATCCATGTGGCGTTAATACCAACTAGTTTATTAATCAGGAGCAATCTACTTTTCTCAGGATGAGGAGCCAGGCATCCCCACTGATCCAAGATAAAACAGGAAACCCATGTTGCATTTTTGAGACCTTTGTTGGCTAAAGGATATCACATCCCATCATATTTAGTCAGTTCTCTCACTGATACTCCTAACTATGGTCTAAAAGGTTGCTGATTCCCTTCAGAGAGACAAAATGCTCTGGGCCTGACTCCCCTGCAGGGCCATAGGATATGTTGGATTATGAGTGAATCCCTACAAAATCCTTAGCATGGTGCCTGGTACACAGACGGTGAAACAGTGGTAGATATTGACTTTTTTTTTTTTTTTTTTTTTTTTTTGGTGGTTCTAGGGATCGAAACCAGGACCTTTACGGTGAGCTACATCCTAGGCCTACTCTTTTTAAATCTTGAGACAGGGTTCTTGCAAAATGCTGAATTGCCCAGACTGGGCTTAAACTTTCAGTCTTCCTGTCTCAGCCTCCCAGAGTAAAGGGATTAGTATCTGCATGTAATGCCACACCTGACAATATTAACCATTCTTATTTTTTCCCCCTTGGACCACTCTCAGAAAGGGCAGGACATGGGGGGTAGCAAATGAGCAGAGGAAAAACTTCAGCACCTATCCTACACCTGGCAGCACTCCCTGCTCCCAGCTGTCTTAGCTGGACCTGACATCTTCAGAGAATTCCATGAATTTCAACAAGCTCTGAGCTATCTAACTAAATGTAAAAGGGGGCTTTTCAGTCCTGATCCAAGTATCATGTGCTCCTTCAGAAAGCAAGATGGAGTGTTCGGGGGTAGAGGACAGAAGTGCCTTGGCTTCTGCTCCTGGGTGGGAGAATGCAGGGACACCATTAACGATACCGCTGCTGTTGGTGTTACCTTGTTCCCACTGCTGGAGGGCCTAGTAGTTTCCCCAAAGACCCTCGAACAACTGCAGACCTGACCTCAGCCCTATTGCGGCAATTCCCACTTGGTGGGAGGCTGGGCAAGGTGCGCCCCAGCCGTTTCCCACAGTCGCGGAAATGTCCCCTCCCCACAGTCTGGTCCCTGGACACTGCTGGGTCCAACCTGAAAAGTCGTTGTGGATCCTGCAGTCGCCACCGTCACAGTCCTGGAAGCTGCTGTACCACTTGGTCAGGACGTCCAGGGACCTCTGGCCCAGTTGGACAAGTCGCTGGCCTGGAAAAAGAGGAACTATGAGGCACGACTGAGATTCTGTTCTTCACAACAGTGACACGACAACTCCATTTGTCAGTGTCAGCACCAACACCAGAACTTGGCTCTAGACTCCCAACCAGACTCAGCCACTACCTGTACTGAAGCACTGCGCCCATAAGCAACAGCGAGGGAGCTTGGGGGTGTGGGGCGCCATCAAGAAGGTGAGGGAGCCAGGCGTATCCCAGCAACTCGGTAGGCTGAGGCAGGAGGATCACTGTGAGTTCGAGACCAGCCTGGGCTACACAGTGAGTTCCAGAGCAGTCTCAACTACATAGTGAGACCCTGTCTCCAAAAAAAAAAAAAAAATGGTGAGGGAAAGCAGCACCTCAGACAATGCGAGGGTGCACCAGGAGGGCACAGGAAGTGTGAGCAGGTAGGTCAGGAGGAGCCCCGGGAGGTGGGGTAGGGCCGCCCCAGGGTGGGATTGGGTAGGGGACAGTGACAGCTTCCTGATCCCCTGCCACAGCCACGGAAGAACGGCTCTTACCCAGGCGGCCCGCCTCAGCCTCGCCATCCTCCTCGCAGTCGTCGGGCCACACCTGGCAGCTGAAGAGCACCCGGTACCGCCTGGAGAG